ATTTTTGTTGCCTTCACGTGATCCTCTGACATCTGGACATTACACGTTTATACGGCACTAACTCACTCAAACCATTTCGGTGGTAAATAGTCACCAATCCACCAAATGCAACAATAGCATTTCTTGTGCATATTTTACTCTTCGATATCATCCCTCACGAAACTAATTTGCGCTGTTAAATAGATGAAGTGAAGGGGAGAAATGCATATTGGAAACACATTTTATTATATCATTATTACTTTATTACTTTGGTTTTGCATATCGTTACCACCGAGTTACAGCACGGCAAAAATACACATTTCTGTTTCACAAAAACAACTTTACTGGGTCATTCACATGGTTGTTCTCATATGAATGTTAATATTTTCGAGTGTACTTGAAGCCATCATTTGTTTGCAACCTTTGAGTGACGTAACGTCCACGTACTCGTCGAACGGGGCAGGGGTCTGTTCACGACTGACACGTTGTGGAATGTTTTTGTCAGAGAAATTTGATATTAAATCACTGAATTGCACATCTTTAGTTCAGGAATATGAAGTTTGTGTGCCACGAGCGGCTGGTTTAAACCGTTTACACTGCTTTACACAGAGAGAGAGAGAGAGAGAGGTGGGAAACCAGTGAAACCCTAGGTGACACAACATCCAAACTCTGAGCGACAACAGATGGCCAGTAGGTGTGAGTGTAGCATTTATTTTCCCTTTTTTGCAGTTCAGTCTCCACCACACACTCTTATTATACCAATAATTATTGATGATGACACTTCGGTTAGCTGAATGCTTGCTCCTTTCATAATGTAAATGGTCCTGAAATGTGGCAGAATTCCCAATGTATATTCCACGAACACCAAAGCATTGGGCCAAATAGCCTTTGCCTTTTTTTCCATTTGTTCGCCCTTTATTCATGCATTTTTCAATTTATTCAGAGTTTTTCCAAGGCCATGAATGACTGTCTGTCTTTCTGACTGCCATCCATAAAAATGCTTTTTCTTAGGGATGCTCCTGGCAGTAGGCCTACATCAGAATTGGGACAGTTGCCCGCCAACCAGCTTCACACAAGGACATGCCATGGTCACGGAAGCACACTGGAATAATTTGATAAGATGTTGCCAATGGCTGACAGTGCAACAGAAAACTCCATTGTTCAATGGTGTGTGTTGTTGATGTGCGGATTTCAATAGTGGCAGGGTCACAAGCGAGGAGAGAGGAGCATATTGCAATAGGCCGAGGCCAATGCATTTGGAATGAACGTTTATGTAGAAGGGATATGCCCCATGAGTCATACAGTACCATGCTGCAGTATATGTAGTATAGTATAGTTGACCTATAGTATAACATAGTGCAGTATATATGATATAGGCTAAGTATAGCATTGCATCATATATGATGCAATGGTATATATATAAGTATAGTAAAGTATGGTACAGTATGTGTGTAGTATGGTATAGTTGGCCTCTCGCATCATGTAGTATTGTATCAGTGATGTGTGTTGGATAATATAGTATATAATACATACAGCACAGTACAATATGTGGAGTTCAGTATAGTAAAGTGTAGTACAATATGTATGGTATAGTAAAATAGTACAGGAAAATGAAATATGTTAAAACTAAAAGAGGACGATGTTATTATGCAAGAGTGAGGGTTAAGTGTATTTTTTTTGAACATAGTGGGATTCACCTTTTCGTACCCGCTCTCTCATCACAGGTCTGTCGACTTCAGCTGTCTTGCTCTCCCCTCCCACTCCCTTCCCATTTGCTTCATCAGCTCCAATTTACTGTATGCACTTGGCAACGCTCTCGTGACCGGTTCATTTTTTTTCCCAGTCTGAACTCAATGTGCAATGACAAGAGATCAAGGCGAAACACTGGAAAAGCGCGCGAGGGCGGATGAAATTTCCACCAGGTCTTCGTGTGGAGGAGCGGTTAGTACAGCGTGGGGTACTTTGTCAAAATAATATCCTGGCCTTGTCACAGAGGAATCTCAGACCTACGTGTGCTGTGTTTTTCTGTCTCCGAGAGGTATCCTGTTTATACAGCCCACCGAACGGTCTCTAGTGTCTCATAAACAAGACTTTATATGTAGCAAAGCCACGGCTTGATTGCAAGTGATACACAATAGCTCGTCTTTATTTATAATATCATGTCTTGCGTCGTATAAAAATGATTTCTAGATTAAACACAGTAAGTGCAACATACACAACCAACCACTATATGACATACAGGTAAGACACATTGTGAGATAAGAATTGTTGAATAGGACCCATATGAGTTCTCATTTCATAGACGTGCCTAGACTTGTAATCGGGGAAAAATAAAAGCCTTGAGTGTGACTTTGAAAAGCAACGATAGAAAAGATAACATGAAGTGAACTCTGCTGGGGAACTCTTGCCCGGGCCTCACGTACAGTTCAGGCTATTTGTAGAGCTGTGCTCAACATCCCTGGTAAACTGTGCTTCCACTTCTGCCGTTGGCGGTGCATTGGCTTTACTGCATGTGGTGACATTAAACTTAACAGTTTTTACAATCCAAAATGTCTTGAAACGCATGATTAAACTCCAACAGCATCGCTAAACAATTGTTATTCACTTTTTAAATCGATCAATTAATCATTTCAGTCATTTCTCAAGCAAAAATGTTCAACATCCACTGGACTCAAGTTCTCAAATGTGTGGATTTAATGCTTTTCTTTGTCTTATAGGATAGTAAACTGAATATTTTTTGGGGATTTGGACTGTTGGTTGGTCAAAACAAGCATTTTGAAGACTTTGCAGTGTGGGGTTAGGGTTTGGGTTTTCACAGGTTTTATTTCACAATTTTTTTTAAAAACATTTTATTGACGCAATGATGAACCAATAATGAAAACTATCATTAGTTGCAGCCCTACTTGTGTTTGTCGTAAACGTTTTGATATTGACAAACACATAAATTTCTTGCCATGCTGATAATGTCTTCAATTTAAAGCCACCACGTGTGGAGTCAAAGTAATTCTGCATTTGGCGCCCCCGGTGGAAATATAAAAACATTACAGATGTGTTTCGACAAAAACTTATTGCAAACAGAATCATTTAAAAGCTGATCTAATCACATAATACTCCACACATAGTGGCTTTTACTCATCAATTCACACTTTGAGCACTCACCAACTACTTTCGTCCTCCCAGATATGGAATTGCTTCTCATCATCTGGACGATGGGTCTGAAAACTGGAACACTCTCCTGATTGTTTTCTTCTGTCACTGTGACATTTGTATCAGTCATGGCTTTCAAATGTACCACCGTGACAATATCTCACTCCATTAGTTTACTGAGAAAGTACACATTGCTGATGCCATCTTTCAATTGTCTGTTTTTCAGCAGTTAAGAACAGATTTAATAAGAAGGATCTACGTTCATGCTAACGGCTCTGTGAGGCCGTGTTTTGACACAGTGCCTTGAGCTAAACGCTAACGTCAGCGTGCTAACATGCTCACAATTCACAATGCTAACAAGCGGACACCTGGGTTAATGTTCACCATCTTAGTCTGGTGTGTTAGCGCGCTATCATTTGCAAATTGATAACAACGATAACACTTGGCAAAGTTATTGGACAACCTAAATAGTGGACAAAAAGTCAGGGGGCAGGAATGTGGCAATCCATCCGATAGCTGTTAAGATGTTTCAGTCTGGACAGACGGACACCGTCATGGAGCTACGCTGCTAGCATGTCTAACAGCAAGACACTGGGGTAAGAGATTGTTAAACAAGAGATGACTTTAGGAACAGGCTCGGCATGCCTCTGACACTGTTTTCCAGCCACTGAAGCACATTTTCCACACGAAGAAGACAAACTAACCAGCAGCCTCCACGTCTCTCACATCACCCATCGATCTCCCTTGGGCTAAAACTCCTCTTACCGCTTGTACTTAAGCTGTGTTTGTGTGTGTGTGTGTGTGTGTGTGTGTGTGTGTGTGTGCTCACTCTTACAATGGATTGCTCATTGAATATCAGACAAGGCAGACAGGCAGGGCTCAAGCCAGACAAGTTCAAACACGGCAACCCCCCACAGCCACCCCCCTAGAAAAACCCTATCACTACCAGACAATGTCATGTTTCTTCTCCTATCCGGCACCTTGACACCCGACAGGAGGAGAGCTGAGTGAAACCAAGACGGAATGGACCGTGGGGCACTTTGGAGGGGACGTGCTGCCTGCGTGCGTATCAAGAAAGAGCAGGAAGGGGGAAACATAGGCCGAAACATTGAGCTTGTGTGCCTGGAAGTGAAAGGCGCAAACTTAAGTGGGGATGAGGCAGCGGATGTGGATGACAGGTGATTGCGATAACAAGCAGGATGGGCCCGGACAGCGGGGGTTGTCATCCTTCTGTCATTAGAGGGCGGTGGGGTGTTCGCATCTCCTGGAGGAAGGAGCTCCAAGTGCTCTGATACGTCTGCAGCGCAAGTGGCCAGACTCTAATAGCCACTTTTGAACCATATATGTTTTATTGTTTAAAAAATCTAAAACTTGTGCTCTCCTTTTAGAACGAGGAGATACAAGCGAGGCGGCGGTTCGCCTCACCGATAACTTTGATAGGTTGCCAGGTCCTCCCCCAACTCAACCTGCCCTAACAGATTCCGCTGTGGATGCACTTGTAATTACAACACATCCTCGACTCTTTAAACTTTCATACATACCATGAAAGTGACTTCAGCTGCCTTTTGCATGTGTGTGTGTGTGCGCGCGCACATTTATGCAGCACACCGCCGTTGATGTACATGTGAGGGCTTGTGTGTGTGTGTGTGTTTGTTTAGTGTATAGGAGTGTTACTAAGGGTGGAAGGCAGCTGGGACTGCTGAGGAGGGAGTATGCGGGCCGAGGAGCAATGCGAGGGCCGAGGAATCACAAAGGGAGGAGAGAATGGAGAATCCAGCTGCTGTCCGGTGAGGCCAAAACGCTCCGGAGGAAGAGAGGAAGATGGCGAAAAAGACAAAGGACACTGATGTGTTAAAAACAGTTCCGGATGGGGA